ACTCATGGAAATTTGCTGCTACGGCTATTATGTGGTTCATTTGGATTTAGAAGAGTGCTTAGTTTCTAATGAACATCACTTGATCGACTGCTTACATTTGGGAGAAAGTGAGTTTGCTGTATTGATTCTTGAACCAAGGCGGAAGACACAATGTCAATACTTTGGGATAAAGTGAACTGCTAATTCGATGAGTTCCACTGCCATATACGGTAAGCAATTGCCAAATACAGTAAGTGTGAATTCGGTGTCTAAAACACAAATACGGTATATGATAACCCGATTCTACTCCAAACACTATCAATTAAATTTGCCAACAGCCAGATGACATTAGATCATAATATGAGTTCTATGCTGCGTTTCCTACTTTTCAATTCACCACTTCCTCTTTGCCTGTTTGCTCGTAGATTGATATCTATTCAACTCGAGGCAAAAGTAGCAAATAATATTTAAGGTCTAGAAACGGGAATTGTGTGCTTGACATGGATAGTTCTATTTCTGCAGATAACTTTCTCCAGCAGTTCTCTTTCTATTCTAGACGGGTGACCCCTATCTATGTTACGTAATTCTTCTTTCTATTGGCTTTGTTTGTGGTGGGTATGGGCTTGCTGCAAGTTAAAGAAGAGGAGCAGGCATGATGGAATTCCATATTAGGAACTTGAAATGGGCTTGCCAAAATCCACTCAGCTGTCAACGGTAGGACATCTGAACCGTTCAGTTGAAACAAAAGAGCATCCGAGCATGTTTGGCTACGCTTATAATTTAATTATAAGCTTCATTTTCTCTTAATGCATAGCATAATAGCATTACTCATATGAATTGATGAAGATGAGAAAATAAAAAAGAGTTGTTTCAGCAAGCGCAAGCACAGGCACAGCCGCACAGGCAAAGTCGCAAATCGCAATGTGAAATAAATTAAATAATTACAAGTAATTGCCGACACTGCAGAAAGGGTTAACTGGTTAAGGGTTGTTGATTTTCTGAAATCATTGGCGAGAAGAGAGTCGTTAGCCGTACCTCATGCCTGCAGCCGCCAGGCGCCGGCCGGTTGCCCCCACCTTTGCACTTTCCTCTTTTAGAAGGACTTTGATTTTTGAATTTTGTAGGGATGCAGGGTAAGTGGTGGTCTCCAGGTCTGGTCTCCCGACTCCCATCTCTATTAAAAAGAAGAATAAAAAAAATGAAAGGGAAAAATTTTGGGCCCCCTAAAAATCTGGGCCTGAGGCGGAGGCCTCTTGGGCCTCTCATCAGGTCCGGCCCTGATCTGAAGGTTGGGATCAGGATTGGGATGATGATGATTGGGACGACGACATTGCAGTAAAATCACCCGAGGGGGACAATATTAGGAGTATCTCTGCAAATGGCCTCAGGTCAAGGTCATCTAAGAAAGATGGGTGGGATAATGGCTGGGATGATTAGTAGTGTGTTAGAGAAATGGGGATCAGAAGAAAATCTCTAATAGATAGACACATCACATAGGGGCTAAAGAACAAGAAAATGAGACAAAGTCCTTTGTATTTAATAATTTTTCGATTTTTTCTCCCACAGAAAATGTGAAACTTTGTTTCTTGCATAGAATCTTTTGCACATGATAATGTGTACGGAAGAAAATTTTGTAGTCCAGAGAGTTTTCATTTGTCGATGATTTGGCTTTGCGATTGTTACCATAATTTTTAAATATCAAGAATTGCAGTTGAACAAATTCTGTTCAATTCTTAAGGAATTGTCAATATTGCTTCACATATGATGTGATTTCTATTTTTCAGGGCGGACAAACATTTTAAATTAGGAGGTGCAATCGACCTTGTAAAAAAGTTGTGAGAAATTTTTCTTTCAAAAATTTACTTTCAAAATAATAATAATAATAATAATATATATATATATATAATAATAATAATAATAATAATAATAATAATAATAATAATAATAATAATAATAATAATAATAATAATAATATCCAACGTAATTTTACATCCAAAAATTTATGAGATTATAACCCAAACGGTTATTAAACTTTGTAAAAAGTTTTTCACGGAATCACTAAACTTTACAAATTACCTAAATTATTACTAAAATTTGTAAAAAGTTTACACGGGATTACTAAACTTTAAAAATCATCCTATTCATCACTAAATTTTGCTAAAGATTTCTCGGGGGTCACTAATTTTAGTGATCCATGGGAATATGATCCCGTAAATTTTTTTTTGCAATGTTTAGTGATGAATGGAGTGATATTTAAAGTTCAATGATCCCGTGAAATTTTTTTGTAAAGTTTAGTAATAACTCGCGTGATTTTTAAAATTCAATGACCCCGTGGAAACCTTTTGCAAAGTTCAGTGACTATTTAAGTTATTATCTAGTTTTAAAAAAAATTGGCATTAAACTAATCTTATATTAGTCTTTATCCATTTTATTCATTACTGTTAATTAGTTTCTCATTGTTTTTTCCTCCTTTTCTAGATATCAATTGAATAAAATAGGGCTCGAACATGCTCATAAGCATTAACTTTTGGTTTTTATTAGTTTTTGTAATGGTTGTAAACTTTTTAGCTATTCATAATGTACGCAAAATAAAATTAAGTGTACGCTTTGATTTACATTTAGCTTTGAAGCCCCCTATGTGGAGGAGTAGAATCGTGATGAAATTTTCAAATTCAAAACCAATGGTATATATATAGCATGATTAATGTACGCATCAGCTTGACTTTGAAATAAAAATATATTCGAAGCGCATTTTTGAAAAAAAAAGGATATTATTGAACAACAAATAAAAAACAAGTAGTCACCAATATATACAGAAACGACAAAGGTCCCCCGGGGCACAGCTCAACTGGTGGATCAATCAACATTATCTTGCTTCCAGTGGCAGGGTGGAGAGTTCGATTCCTGGTGGGAACCTGCAGCCAAAAATTTGGTATGGAGCAATCACTGTGGAGGAGGGTCTCTTGTGTGCAGAAGTGTACAGGCAATGGGGGGAACCTGTGATCCAGTTGAGGCATAACCAGCGATTTACCCCTTCCAAGGTTCTAGGGGCAAGGGTCTTGGGGGTCCAGGATTTAGTCTGGTGTAAGTTGGGATACCTGGATATAAAAATAAAAAAAAATAATAAAAAAAAAGACAGGCTATGTCCACTTCCGAGCCGTTGATTATAAAATTATTATCTATTGTACAAATCTACAAACATACTGTTATATATGACACCTAGATCAGTTTTGTCGTTTGTCATGAAATGTCATGTCGTAGAAGTAATATAATCGTCAGAGGAAAATGATTGTCCGGAATAAATATTGCTTCATAATGTAGGTAGGGCCATAAAGGGGTCACAGTTGCATGGGAAGACTCAGAGTTAAGGGAGACAGTTGCATGGGAAGACTCAAGTTATGATCCAATAAGGGCGAGACATAATTGTGAAAGAAATAAAAATAAAAAAAATGGAAATTTAAATTTTGAAAAAGTCCAATCGAAAGTTTTTGAAAATTCAGTGAGGTCGGTCAATCCCACTTGGCCCTTAATGGATCAGTCCCTGGACATTTGTCTCCTGTGATTAGCTATAGTGAAAATTTATGTGAGGATTTTTTTGTAAGCGTAGCATGTCTCTTCATGTAAACAAATCAAAAGGTCGGCTTCAAGTGAGTGCAAGGGGTAAATCAAAATGTGAAAATTTTGTTACTTTTCCCAACATGAAAATGTGTAAACTTTACTTATATAATAGTTATCGATCGGTTGAAACCCGCAAGTGTACAAGATCATTGACAAGTAATAATAAAGTGAGTTATGAGTTATCATTCCATGATGAATAATATTTAACATTAGTTTACTAGTTATTTCTAATTTCGATATTCATGACATAAAAGAGTTGATTTTATTTGTTTGTACTAATACTACACTAAGAAAGCAATAAAAATTATTTTATCGAATATGTGAATGACTATATTGGTTTTGAATCCCCCTATTGCCATTCACTTCAATTATTGATTCGTAATCTAGTCAACTTCATGTATTCGTAACAATCGATAAAGTTGGTGTATTTAATTCTCTTTTTCAAGACAAATTAATTCTATTCTAATCACAATACGATCCAATTTATAGTTCGAATTCATATGACCAAAATGCATTAAATTGGTTGTAGTTGTATGTGAATTTAATTAGCCCACGCCTTTT